AGGGAAATACAAATCAAAACCACAGTGAGATACCACCTCACACCTATCAGAATGGCTAACAGCAACAACTCAGGCAACAACAGACATTGGCGAGGATGCAGAGAGAGAGGATCTCTTTTGCACTGCTGGTGGGAATGCAGACTGGTGCAGCCACTCGAAAACAGTATGGAGGTTCCTCAAAAAATTAAAAACAGAACTTAGCTACGACCCAGCAATTGCACCACTAGGTATTTATTCAAGGCATACAGGTATGATGTTTTGAAGGGGCACATGCACCCCAATGTTTATAGCAGTGCTATCAACAATAGTGAAAGTATGGAAAGAGCCCAAACGTCCATCAATGGATGAATGAAGAAGATGTGGTATATATATACAATGGAGTATCCTATGACCCAGCAATTACACTACCAGGTATTTATTCAAAGGATAGAAAAATGCTGAATTGAAAGGGCATATGCCCCCAATGTTTACATCTGCATTATCAACAATAGCCCAATTATGGAAAGAGCCCAAATGTCCATCAACTGACAAATGGATAAGGAAGATGTGGTGTGTGTGTATGTGTGCACGTGTGTGTGTGCACACACATACACACACAATGGAATATTACTTGGCAATCAAAGAGAATGAAATCTTGCCACTTGCAACAATGTCGATGAAACTGGAATGTATGATGCTAAGCAAAGTAAGTCAGAGAAAGGTAAGTATCATATGATTTCACTCATATGTGGAATTTAAGAAACATAATAGACAAACATAGGGGAGGGAAAGAAAAATAAGATAAAAACTGAGAGAGAGGAAAGTCATAAGAGACTCTTAAATGCAGAGAGCAATTGAGGGTTGCTAGAGGGGTGTTGGGTGGGGAATGGACTAAATGGGTAATGGGCATTAAGGAGGGCACTTGCTGGGATGAGCACTGGTGTTGTACGTAAGTGATGAATCACCAAATTCTATTCCTAAAACCATTATTACACTATGTGTTAACTAACCTGGATTTAAATAAAATTAAAAAATAAAAATAAAATAAAACTAAGTTTATTTATGTGACAGAGAGAGAGAGAGCGCGAGCGTGCGCAAGCATGAGCAGAGGAGAAGCAGAGAGATTGGGAGAGAGAGGATCCCAAGCAGGCCCCGTGCTGTCAGCACAGAGCCCAATGCAGGGCTTGAACTCATAAACCATGAGATCATGACCTAAGCTGAAACCAAAAGTCGGTTAAGCATCCAACTCTTGATTCTGGTTTAGATCATGATTTCAAGGTTTGTGGGTTTGAGCCCTACAATGGACTCTGCATTGACAGTGCAGAGCCTGCTTGAGATTCTCTTTCTCTTTCCCTCTCTGCTCCTCCCCCACTCACATGTGCACACACACTCTCTCTCTCTCTCTCAAAATCAATAAATAAACTTAAAAAAAAAAAAGGAAAGATTTAAAAAATTAAAAAATAGGGGCACCTGGGTGGCTCAGTCAGTTAAGCATACAACTTCAGCTCAGGTCATGATCTCACAATTTGTGGGTTCAAGCCCTGCATCGGGCTCTGTGCTGACAGCTTAGAGCCTGGAGCCTGCTTCAGACTCTCTGTCTCCTTCTCTCTCTGCCCCTCCCCTATTCGTGCTCTGTCTCTTGTCTCTATCAAAAATAAATAAACATTAAAAAAAATTTTTTTAATAAAAAAATAAAAAATAATAATAAAATGAAGGAGTAGGCTAAACCCTATTAGGTTTTCTTCAACAACCTAATATGAAGCCATGACTCTGAAGTCCTGTATGTTTATCAAAAACAACACGTCTACAATTAGATAGGGAAGACTTTGACTTAATGGTTCTAGTTGGCAGTAAACCCAATAAGGAACATCCAGGACTATTCACGTGTTTTGACCACATTAATTAATGTAACTAAAAAGACACAGAAAAATGGTGAGGGCAGTATTGCCCTATTGGTCATACAACACCTAGAATACTGAATTTTTTTTTTTCATTTTTTCATTTTTTTAAAATTTTTACGTTTATTTTTGAGACAGAGAGAGACAGGGCATGAACGGGGGAGGGTCAGAGAGAGAGAGGGAGACACAGAATCTGAAGCAGGCTCCAGGCTCTGAGCTGTCAGCACAGAGCCCGACACGGGGCTTGAACTCACGAACCGCAAGATCATGACCTGAGCCGAAGTCGGACGCTTAACCGACTGAGCCACCCAGGCGCCCCTAGAATACTGAATTCTTAATTAAGACATTGACAAACTAAAACATTAAAAAGAAATGGTACTTTGAAGTTGTGAAGTAATGACGCCTGAGTTAATGAACAGAGGATATTTACCTAAAGAAAAGACTCAGGAGGGCCCTGACAGTTCTCTTCATGAATGCAAAATAGAAGAGGGGGTAAAAGTTGTTCCAGATGCTCCCAGAAGGCAAAATTAGAATCAACAAATAACCTGTAAGTAGATTTATTTCTACACAAACTTAGAAGGAACCTCCTAAAACCTCACTAAAATTAAACAGGCTTGAGAGATTAAGCTTATGGTAGAGGTGTTCAAACAATGGCTATTTGTTAAAGAAGTTATATAAGGAATTCAATTTAGAAAAATGTTGAATGAAATGAATCCTACAGTCCTTTAAGTGTATAGACTCCTTTGACCTTCACTGATTCAGCATATCCATTTCTCAAAACAAAAAGAACCATGACCTCAACATTTAAGTATTTGTTGTTGGTGACTGGTAGTGTTGAATATATGCATATATATATATGTATATACACACAATTAACTTTATAACAGCAAATTTTTCCTGACTAATTTCTTACTACAGTGTCACTAAATAACTGTCCTACCATATAAGATATCTGTAACATCAAAACCAGCTTAGGTGAGTCAGGTTTTACTTCATTTAACAAGCAGAATATAAGTCAAACATTTTTTCTAAAGTTCAGATGTATTTCAGGCACTAACAGCATAATGTTACAGTGGTTTAGGTAGTCAAAGAAAATACTTGCTATTTTTTTAAGCTGTCAAGCAAAAGTAAATTTGTTTAAGGACAGCAAGCTACTTTGAAAAGAAGTTGACTAATGAGAACTATCTTAAATTTCAGAACTGAAAGACACACTAGATAATAACCCCCTTCACTGATCTGATTAAGCCATGTCCGAAATAAAACATGCATACCTTGAAGTTCATCTCTATGCTTAACCTTTACTATAATTTCAAACTTTAGCTTTTATTCTTCTAAGATGCCAGTGAGCTTCAACAGACAAATCTGTGACTTTCAGAACACTAAAAATAAATTAATTCTGAGTGAATCTGAATTTGTATTTCACGAGGTAAATGACATTATCTAATTTCAATTCACTTTATACACCTTGGTTTTGGAGGCATTCACTCTTTAATTCTGTATTAACCTCTATATGTTCATTATCTTGTTTATCTTTGGTATTCATAAATATCAAGGCTGAGGTGTTCAAAATACCATAAGCTACCTGTAAATCACTTCACAGAACATTAATTAAGTCAACCATCACTTATCTGAAATCTTTGGAACCAGATGTGATTTGGAATTCAGATTTTTTTTATCATGAAGGGTAATACAGAGTATATACAGCTTATTACATAATACCTCCAGTGGCACCTGAGGCATCATTCTGTAGTCAAACACACTGATATTTTCATAGCAAAGCATAGGAATGTTCACATGAAGTGGGATAAATAAGGACTATAAATAGCATTCTGTGGATTAAGGTGAGGTTAAATTGTGAATAACATCCAAAAAAAAAACTTTTGAATTTTAGAATTTGAGTTTTAGAATCATGTATAAAAGATTGTGGATGTGTGTTCTAGCCTCAACATGCATCATGAGTAAAACTGGAAAGTGTTGACATTTTCATACATACATGTTTAATAATCTCAGTCTAACCCTATAGCCTTCTTTCCTCATCTATTATCTCCCCTCAAAATTCCCTTTGCTACCAATATTTGTGAACTGATTAACATTGGAGGAATATCAAAATCCTATTGAATATCCATTACTTAAAAGTATACGGATAAGAATGTTAATTCCACCTGTGAGATGTGTTTATACATAAGACAATAACTATTCTAAGCAAATTAATACGTTATACCTGCATAGTTTACCAGTTTTTAGAGATGCCCACTCAAATACAATAGAAGATCTAAGAGCCCTATAAAAACCATTAAGACTATCCTAAATCCTAACTCTTAAAATATTTCACAAGTTTTATATAGATGGGAACTAAGAACTGGCCATATCTCAACCCTGTGACAGTCAGACCATACTCAGAAAAAGATTCTTTTTAAAGATACTGTTGAATAATGGAAAGAACAGTGAGTGGCCTTTTTTTTTTTTTTTTTTTTTTTTTTTTAATTTTTTTTTTTTTAGTGAGTGGCCTTTAAGTCAAAATATAGGAGTCTGAGTGATAGGCTTAGTGAGACCATAGCAAGTTATTTGACTTTTGTGAACTTCAGTTTCCCTCTCTATAAAGCAGAAATAATAAAACTACCTTAAAGAATCATAGTGAGGATTATTAGATATAAAAAACATGAAACACAGAATAAAAATTATTATTTTTATTCTTTAAGAGAAATGGGAGGAGAGGAGCAGAAAAAGGAAGTTCTCCAGGCCCGAGAAATGTGTAAGAGGAAATAATTTATTCAGATTGCTTTTATGAAGCTTTTGGGTCAGGGCTTTGAAAAGGAAACAAATATTTATTTAAAATATAAATATTTCAAATAATTATAAAAATTAAAATGCTTTAAATTAAAACATTCTGATACTTTCTTTATATATACACTAACCTAAGAGATGCATACACTCTTCATATATACTCCCAAAACACAAATGAAAAGTGATTTTCTTCATATTATTGCAGAAAACTTTATAACTTTTTAAAATGAAATCTGCAACTCTTAATGCCTTTACAGTTTGTATAGCTAAGTATAATAAAGGAAGAAAAGTTGAGGGAAAATATTCAATTTGCTGCTGCAATTAAGGAAAAATACTTACTCAATTTTCTGTTGCAGCTGTTCAGAAAGCTTTTTATTTTCTTCCTGGAGAGTATTCTTTTCATTCACTTAAACATAACATGAAAAAGAAGCACACATTATAGCTATATTAACATGTATGTCAGGCTTTTTCAACAGTACCAGTAATTATGGAGAATTAGGATTTCTAATTCCAAGTCATAATGTTAGAGTTAACATTATTGTGCAAGATTATCGTTACTAGGCAGTGATTACTACATCTCATATTGTGCCAGTTCCATGTAACTGATTAACTGATAATTTTATTTTATGCTTGTGGGCAGAAAAGAAAAAGTACTTCATGTACTGGGGAATATAGGTTAATTATTCATACTAAGGTCAAGAGAGCATTCCATCTATTACTCAGTCTTACTAATTTCAAACACCATTTTAGTAAAGGACATTTATCTTGAAATAAATCTGATAACAAAAGTAAACCAACACTGAATAGCAGTGTAATTTTATAGCATAAGCAAATTTTCTTCCTTAGTTAATTATGCTATCAGTAATTTAAATATATCCATTGAAATAGTATTTGTTTCAATCTACCCTGGCTAAATTTTCTTGTCCATGTTTATTGAATTTAGAAAGCAGAAATTCAATTTTAGACTATAATTTCTATTGTAGTCAGCACAAAATTTTTTATAAACCCTTGTGTGATGTCACTGCTTAAGCGTGTACTGCACTAGGAGGAATATCTAGAAGATCACAGTAAATAGAACTAACCTCTACAAAACAAAGCTAATCATATTCCAAAAATTTGGAGATACGAACAGTAATCTAAACATTAAGTGCAGTCCGATGAGAGACCGGATATTACATAAACATGTTCTATACAACTGAAAGTGAGAAGGGCATTACAGAAGTACTGATAAAGCACTAAAAGAAATTCCAAGGAGAAAAAGGTTACTTTGGGCTCTTGAGTAGATGAGGAAGGGATTCATCAAGGAGAGGACAACTGAGCTGGACAGAGTGTTCTATGCAAAGAATTAATGGAACAAAGTTAGACAGAAAGAATGGGTATAATAAACGGTAGGAAACCTTCAAAAACAGGTTAAGAAATCTGAACTTCATTTAATATTTTTTTGAGTTTATTTATTTATTTTGAGAGAGACAGAGACAGTGTTAGTGGGGAGGGGCAGAGAGAGAGGGAGACAGAGAATTCCAAGCAGTCTCTGCACTGTCAGCGCACAGTCTGATGCGGGGCTTGAACTCACAAAACCATGAGATCATGATCTGAGCTGAAACCAAGAGTTGGACACTTAAACAACTGGGTCACCCAGGCACCCCTGAACTTCATTTTAAAAGATTACCAGGTGTCATTTTTCATACATGAATGATGGGAAGACTGATTTGTTAGTATATACAGCACATACCAAAGCAAGGAAAAAAATGAAGTAAGAAATGAGTATCTGGACTAGAAATAGGAAGTGAGGACAGGTAGAAGAGATTTTACAGAGGCAGGATCAGTAGTTATTTGGCAACTCATCCTCTCTATGGTGAGAGTAGACAAAGATGGCCTTAAATTTCTAATTAAGATGGTTTACCTGACTCTCCCTCTCCAAATCCCAATGAAATGACAAAACAACTCTAAAAATAAGTCAACTCCAATACTGAAAAGCCAGAATGGGTGTCACTAGCAGATTAGAACTTTAAAAAAATTCATGAATGATTTAAAAATAGATAGCCTCAGACTGATGGTGAAATCCAACCAAAGAAAGGGCCTTAAAAAAAAAAAGTGAGCTTTTTCAGTAGAACCTCATGTTTATTCCAGTCTAGGCAGCAAGGCCCAGAAGTTGCTGAATGGGCAAATAAAGGGTAACTGATAGTTGCCCTTAGGCTAAAGGGGGATAGATTTCCACAACTTTTAACACTGGAGAGTCCATTGTCTCCTAAGACAAGGAGATCAGGGCAATGCTCTCAATTAACTTTTGGTAATCAGGAAAGAGAAGTACTCCCATACCTAGAAGACCAACTATTCGCATACCCCACAGAAAACCTCTCCAGTCTTGTTTCCTTCTCTCCCACCCTCTGCCATTGGAGTAGGGCTCCTGTAAATCAGAATCTGCATTTACTGTTAGCAAAGTAGGGATTCTTCCTCAACCAAGGAAATGAGACTGCATTTAACAAAATCACCCATTTAGAGACATCTATAATTATAGACAATCAAGAGTAAACAAACACATAAAAAAACTAACACAAAACAAAACAAAAAATCCAAAATTTTAAAAGAATTAAAAACCAGTCATGGGGCACTGGGATGGCTAAGTAGGTTGAGCGTCCAACTTTAGCTAAGATTGTGATCTGATAGTTTGTGAGTTCTAGCCCTGCATCAGGCTTGCTGCTGTCAGTGTGGAACCCACTTTGGATCCTCTGTCCCCCACTATCCCCCTTTCTCTCGGCCCCTTTCCTGCTCATGCTCTAAAACAAAACAAAACAAAACAAAAAAACAGTAATAAAAATTCTGGATAAGTAGTTTTAATATAAGAAACAAAAGATATCTAATAACATCTTCAGATTTCAAAGGGTGATAGATAGGTTCATTAAAAACAAGCAACAGGCTGCCATGAAAAAAACAAAGGTCATAAAAGTTAAAAGCAAAATAAATGGGATGAAAGTAGAAAAAATGTGACCCAAGACAGAATTAATATCCATCTAAATGATTCTCCCAGAATTCAGCACAAGAGAATAAAATTACAAAATATTAAGAAAAATTAGGCAGCGTGGGAAGACCCCAGCATCTTGCTAATCTGAGTTCCAGAAGAAGAAACAGAATGGAAAGGAACAAACATTAGAAATAAACAAACGAACAAACAAAACAGAAAAAAAAACTTCTTGGGCTAAGTGAACACTTTAGGGTGGGTAAGCGAATTAGATATACTGTTAGTGATCTTATCACAAAAACAAATAGATCGGGGCGCCTGGTTGGCTCAGTCCGTTGAACATCCGACTTCGGCTTCAGGTCATGATCTTGCGGTTTGCGGGTTCAAGCTCCGAGTCGGGCTCTGTGCTGACAGCTCAGAGCCTGGAGCCTGCTTCGAGTTCTGTGTCTCCCTCTCACCCACTCATGCTGTCTGTCTCTCTCTCAAAAATGAATAAACATTAAAAAAACAAACAACTAGATCCTGAACAAAAACATAATTTTTATTAAACGCTAAACTCACAGGAAGAGAAATCCAAGGGACTCCCACATTACCTCCTTAATCATCAACAACAACAAAAAAACAAAACAAAACTGTGAGCTAAAACACAAGCAGTATAGGTAAGCAGATGTTGGTACCAGCACTGGTAGGGGGACTGAAACTGAGATTTCCAGTTTAAGCCCAAACTCCTTTCCTAGCATGGAGCCAAAGTAACCCTCATTTACTTACCCCTACAGTCAGCAGAAAGTAACTCATATATGGATTCCCAAGTATTTCAGATAATAGAATTATCTTACATAGTAATGAAATGTTAAAAGATTTAAATGGAATGCCTAAAACTAACACACTAGAAGTGATAACAAAAAATGAGTAGGCAGACAAGACTGAAATAATTTGAGCATCAATGAGAATAAATGAATAAACTGAATGACACACACTGAATATATAAAATCCTATGTATTTATTTTACTCAAAAAAAAAACCCCCGAAAAACAAAAAGAGACCCCCCCCCCCACTCTCATCAAAAATAAAATGAAACTTGGGGCGCCTGGGTGGCGCAGTCGGTTAAGCATCCGACTTCAGCCAGGTCACGATCTTGCGGTCCGTGAGTTCGAGCCCCGCGTCAGGCTCTGGGCTGATGGCTCAGAGCCTGGAGCCTGTTTCCGATTCTGTGTCTCCCTCTCTCTCTGCCCCTCCCCCGTTCATGCTCTGTCTCTCTCTGTCCCAAAAATAAATAAAACGTTGAAAAAAAAAAATTTAAAAAAAAAAATAAATAAATAAAATGAAACATCACACATACATAAACACACACACCCTATTTGTCACCATTGCTGGTAACTATTACACAAGATCTTACTCTGAAAACTGGCAATTAAAGGGAAAAAATTAAAGGGAAAAAATTAAATTAATAAAATTAAAATTAAGACCATGCCTTTCTAGTAGGAACTATATTACATTCCAAGCTAATCAGCAGTCCCAACTGATAAGGGTGAAATCTTATTTACAGAAAAATGCCAGCTAATGAATGTAGAAAGAATAACAGAAATGAAAATTTGGCATTTTATAATCTCTAATTAAATAACTAATTCAGGCAAGGCTCACCAATGGATGCTAAAACCATTCAAGAAAGACTGAGGAAGAATTGTATTTTTGCAAGACTTCATAGTATCAAACATCCACCCCCCTATTCAGATTATTTGGTGGTACAAGGAGAAAATATAACTCTATAATAAAGAAATGTAGTCATCACCTTAACCCAGTGATCAATCTTAGAATTCCTAAGAGTGGAATAACCTGGCAATATCTTACTCCTGATAAGATGCAATAAATATGAAGTGGACAATTTTAGCTATGAAGTACTGCTGTCAAAAATGCTTAATATAAACCTAATCAAGCCTTCAGATCCAATATCTACTTTATAGGAAATAAAGGAAAAGACAAAATGTTTTAAAAAAATCCAAAAGGTGACAAAATTTTAAGAAAATGACCCTACTTCAAGAAACTAATGTCATGAAAGAAAAAAATAGGAAAGCGAGCTATTCCAGATTAAATGGAATGTGTATGAGGGTTCTTTAGTATTTTCCCTACCTTTCTGCATTTTTTAAAACATTTCACTTAAAAAAAAAAAAAGTGAGGGCGGTGCCTGGGTGGCTCATTGGGTTAGGTGTCCGACTTTAGCTCAGGTCATGATCTTGCAGTTCGTGAGTTTGAGCCCCACATCAGGCTCTGTGCTGACAGCTCAGATCCAGGAGCCTAGTTTGGATTCTGTGACTTCCTCTCTCTCTATCCCTCCCCTGCTCACACTCTGTCTCTGTCTCTCAAAAAATAAATAAATGTTAAAAAAAAAAAAATTAAAAAAAAAAAGAAGGGATACCTGGCTGGCTCAGTTGGTGGAACATGCAACTCCTGATCTTGTGGTCATGAGTTTGAGCACCACATTGGACACAGAGCCTACTTAAAGAAAAAAAGACAACTAGGTAGACTTGAAAAAGAACCATTAAGGATAAAGAAATTGTGGTTTATATACACAATGGAGTACTACGTGGCAATGAGAAAGAATGAAATATGGCCCTTTGTAGCAACATGGATGGAACTGGAGAGTGTTATGCTAAGTGAAATAAGCCATACAGAGAAAGACAGATACCATATGGTTTCACTGTTATGTGGATCCTGAGAAACTTAACAGAAACCCATGGGGGAGGGGAAGGAAAAAAAAAAAGAGGTTAGAGTGGGAGAGAGCCAAAGCATAAGAGACTGTTGAAAACTGAGAACAAACTGAGGGTTGATGGGGGGTGGGAGGGAGGGGAGGATGGGTGATGGGTATTCAGGAGGGCACCTTTTGGGATGAGCACTGGGTGTTGTATGGAAACCAATTTGACAACAAACTTCATATATTGAAAAAAATTAAAAAAAATAATTTAAAAAAAGAAAAAAGAAAAAGAACCATTAAATAGAATTTTTAGGAATGAAAAATTTGGTTACTGAAATAAAACAACTCAACACAAGAGAACTACTGAAGTCCTTAGTATAATGAACAAGAGAGCTGAAGAAATCACTCAGAATGTAGCAGAGAGAAATAAGAAGATGAAAAACAGGAAAGGGATATCAAGCAATACAAAGGACAGAATGATGAGGTCTCATCAGAATACCCAAACAGAGAATGGAGAAGACACAATATTTGAAAAGCTATTTCCAGGTATAATTAAAGATGTGGTTCCAAAAGGGTGCCTGGCTGGCATATTTGGTAGAACATGCAACTCTTGATCTTGGGTCATGAGTTCGAGCTGCACAATGGATGGTAGAGATTACTTCAAAATAAAATCTCAAAAAAAAAATGTGGTTCCACAGATTTTATAATATATACTAAACAGAATTTTTTTGAAAAAAAAAAACAACAAAAAAACCTGGTTAAAATTATACTAATATTATAGAACACCAAAAAAGAAGGAAAAAAAATCATAGCAGCCAGAGAAAAATGATTGTTACCCTGCAAAATAGGCTTACAAAAGTAATGTAAAATAAAAACATTTTTGGATAAAACTGAGAATTTAGAACCAGCCAATACCCTCAAAAGGATGTATCTCAGATAGGACAATAATCCCAGAAGGAAATGGAGGTGCAAAAAGCAATAATAAGCAAAGAAACTGATAAACAGGTAGTTGAGTCTTTTAAAACTGTCTTAGTAATTTTTAGAAAAGTTTCTAACTGGGGCACCTGGGTGGCTCAGTCAGTTAAGCATCCAGCTTCAGCTCAGGTCATGACCTCACAGTTCATGGGTTCGAGCTCCACGTCGGGCTCTGTGCTGACAGCTCAGAGCCTGGAGCCCGTTTCAGATTCTGTGTCTCCCTCTTTGTCCCTCCCCCACTCACGCTCTCTCTCAAAAATAAACAAACATTAAAAAAAAAGTTTCTAACTTATAGGCTAAAAAAAAGGAAATGAATGCTAGGCATAAGCAGCATGTAAGTGGAAAAGGAGATGAGCAGAGTTAAGGTGTTTTAAGGTCTGTACATTGTTCAGAAGATGGTCAAGACATTAACTTTACATTTTAGGAATGCATGGTAAACTTTCAAGGTTGTGGGTTGCCTGGTTGACTCAGTCAGTAGAGCATATGTCTTTCTCTTGGGGTTCTAAGCTTGAGCCCCATGCTGGGCATAGACAGTACTTAAAAATAAAATAAAAATAAATAGAAATAAAAAAATAAAAAAGAGAGGAGGGGACAAAACAGGGGAAGAGACACAAAAAGATAAACCTGGACCTGGAAAAATACATTATCAGATTGTTAATAATAGTTACCCCCAGGAACAGAATAAAACTATGTTCTTTCTCTTTTTGAAACAATGAGGAAATATTCATTTATTCTTGCTTGAGTAACCAGAGGATAGCAATATAATTAATAGAAAGAAAATAGTCAGAAGATAGAAAAGAAGATAAATTAATTAGATTTTGTGCTCATTGTGAGCTGTTCATTGTGAGCTGTTTACAGAGAATCAAGGTAAAGGTCACTAAGAGAGTATATGAATAGTTAGAAGTGAATAAGGTTAAGAGATAATGGAAGAGAAGACATTTAAGAGAAGGCTAAAAATGTAAGGAAACCCCACATTAAATGTGTAAGGAGACTAAACTGAAAATGATATATTTGTACTAATATGTCATGAAAACCACAGAAAGTGTACACTTTTGCACAACACTAAATTGTATTTTTGTATTTGACTTTACTAAATAGCCAAATGACATGAAATAAAGATAAAACTAAAGAAGCAAATGTAGACATAAGCAAAGGAAATTTCTTCTTATCTTATTGTTGGTGAGACTTGAGGGCCAATGTGCACAGTATTTATACTACTTTTTGTACTCTATTTCTTACTAAAATAAGTATGAAATTAAATCTACAGAAAGGGAATAAAGGACATTTGCACTTTTGCCTACATGAGGAAAGATGTATGTAAACCATCCATTTGATTGCAACCAATTTAATAATAGGTTTTAACAACAGTACATTATGCTTTAAATACTTAATGAAGAAAGGAAACTCACTAAGCTCTGTGATAAGTTTAAGATTCTGCTGCCGGATATTTTCAAACTCTTGCTGTTTTTTCCGCATATGCTCTTCAGTTACTGCACAGCGATCACATAATCCTGCTCTTAATCTAGGAAACAAAAACAAAATATTTTTAGAGAATTTAAATGTTCTCACCAAAATATATGTATGATGGCTATGTTAATTAACCAGACGATGGGAATTCTTTCACAATGTATATGTTTACCAATTACCATTATGTACACTTTATTTTACAATTTTGTCAATTGTATCTCCATAAAGCTGAAATTCAATTTTTTTCAAATACTAAAATATATTTCCTTATATTTGAACTCCAAGACTTTTATACTTTATAAGATGTAAATAACTGACTTGGCGAATATGGAGAAAATTAATAGTTCAATGATGTATTATACCTTTAACACGTTCTCAAATAGGTTGAAATCATGCCACAACATCACTTTCTACAAGACTGCAATTCCGAGTGGAATTCTGTAAATTCTGCCAATTTTAAACTCTATCCAAAGGAACTTATTTATTGAAGAATCCGACCTTGTTTTAATATATTATAGTCAGAATATGAACTTTAGTCCAGTACCAAGGGGCTGAATTATATCTTAAGCAAGCTTGCCTCTGTATTGCTCGGCATAGGATATGACACATGAGTGATCAACAACTTTTTTAGTTGAATGAATACTAAAGGTCAAAGAGTACAAAGTTAAAAAAAGGTACTCCATACTTTGCTCTTGTCAGCATTTAAAAAAAACCCAACGTCAGAAAAATTCACAATTTACTATTATGCAAAAAAAGCTTTTAAAAAAAGTTTTCACTATTTGTCAGTGAAGAAAGGGTGTCCTAATCACAGAAAAGTCTAGTAGACAGCACTGACCTAGAACCAACTTGATATACAGTACAGAATTCCTAGAAACTTAAAAAAAAAAAAGAGGGTACCCAGAATAAGTAATTTAACGTATTTCAAGAAATCATGGTGCTTGGGTGGCTCAGTCAGTTAAGCATCCAACTCTTGATTTTGGCTCAGGTCACGATCTCACGGTTCGTGGGTTTAAGCCCTGCATTGGATTCTGTGCTGACAGTGCAGAGTCTGCTTAGGTTCCTCTCTTTCCCTCTCTGTGTCCCTCCCCAACTCACACTCTATCTCAAAATAAATAAACTTAAAAAATATTAAGTATTTCAAGAAATCATCATATCAACATATTCTCTTCTGTATTCTGAGTACTCAAGTGATCCCCCCTTCCATTCCTAGGAGAATATTGGAGATTTACCCTCTAGAGGGTCTAAAACAGACACAGATACAGCTTTGGGAAACACAAGATGTAAGTAAGGGTAGGAGTACAATAGTGAAGTAAATGTATATTCATGCCAAATTCTTAGACTTTAGCCTAGGCCCTCATCATCTACTTGGCTTCCAGGACTTTAGTAGCCAGCCCTATTACACATTCCAGAAAGCAGAATAAATAAAGGAGCCCCCTCTAGGAAATCAGACCTAAAGATACCGCCATTTGGGGATTATCAGTGAAAAAGACCAGGCAGATCAACCTGCAGTGAAGCTCAGAGACCACAATTCCACTCACAGCTTCTACTCAACTTTTATCCATTTCTCTTAAATATATCAATAGACATCTCAGAAAAGCTTATAAAGTGAAAGATACTAGAGCAAGACACTAAAAAAATATATATATACACAAATATATACATATACATATATGTATAAATAAATAAATAAATAAATAAATAACTAACTAAAGTAGGGAGAAGGAAAAAAACACTACCATCACCAAACTGTAAAGAATACTCTCAGGAGAAATAAAGAAGATACCAAACCATAAATGAAAACAGGACTGCCATAAAAGGAAATATTCTGAGAACAACAACAACAAAAATCTTGGAAATTAAAAATATAACAGCAGGGCAGAGAAACCCCACGTGGCTGAGTCAGTGGAGCACACAACTCTTGATCTCGGGGTTTTGAGTTCAAGCCCCACGTTGGGTATAGAGATTACTCAAAAATAAAATCTTAAAAAAAAAAAAGCCAGCAGGAAAAAACCCAAGCTCAATAGAAGGTAAGAAAATAGAGTTGAGAAAATCTCCTCAAAAAGCAAAGAGCAAATAGAAAAGATTAAAAAACTAGAGAATTATTTTAAAAGGTTTATCCTTTCAATAATAAGAGTTCTAGAAAAAGCAAGTTTTGGGGTGGCAGCAAGGGGCAGAAAAGGAGGAACAAAAAAGACATGAGACCTACAGAAAGCAAAATGGCCTAAATCCAACTATATCAATAATTACATTGTTAATTGATAAAACACTCTGATCTAGAGAGAGATCTTATAACTAACTCTGATCTAAAGGCAGATCTAACTGTCAGGACAAAAAAATTAAGATTCAATATGCTACCTACAATAGACAAATTTTAGATTCCAAGATACGTATAGGCTGAAGGCAAAGAATGGAAAAAGATAGACCATGCAAACAAAAACCAAAATAAAGCTGGAGCATCTATGATAAGATCAGACTATAAAACATATAAAAATGGAGAGAGGAAATAACAGAAAAGAATTGCCAGACCTTAAGAGATACTAGTCTTTATTTTTTTTTTTTAATTTTTTTTTTTCAACGTTTATTTATTTTTGGGACAGAGAGAGACAGAGCATGAACGGGGGAGGGGCAGAGAGGGAGGGAGACACAGAATCAGAAACAGGCTCCAGGCTCCGAGCCATCAGCCCAGAGCCTGACGCGGGGCTCGAACTCACAGACCGCGAGATCGTGACCTGGCTGAAGTCGGACGCTTAACCGACTGCGCCACCCAGGCGCCCCAAGAGATACTAGTCTTTAGACTGAGTGTCCAACAGGTTAAAGGAAACACATACAAACACACACACACCCATCACAAAATTTCAGAACAACAATAAAAAGATCTTAAATTCCAGGAAGGAAAAAATATCTATTACCTATAAAGGAATAACATTAGAATGGTATCAGTCTTATCAACATCGGATGCTAACAGATAATGAGAAAATGTCTTTTTTTTTTTAATTTTTTTTTTAACATTTATTTATTTTTGAGACAGACAGAGAGCCTGAACAGGGGAGGGTCAGAGAAAGAGGGAGACACAGAATCCGAAACAGGCTCCAGGCTCTGAGCTGTCAGCACAGAGCCCGACGCGAGCTCGAACCCACGGACCGCGAGATCATGACCTGAGCCGAACTCGGACGCTTAACCGACTGAGCCACCCAGGCGCCCCTGAGAAAATGTCTTTAAAATTTGGAGCAAAAACTATTTCGAACCTAGAATTTTATATCCATTCAAAATATCATCTAAATCAACAGTAAAATGACATTTTTAGACATGCAAGGACTCTTTGAAAATTTACTTCCTGTGCACTTGTGGACTAACATGAGTTGAAAGAAATAATGGAATTAATGTAGGGAGATCCAGTGAAGAGAAATTCCAGAATGGCAGCTATAGAAAAACCTAGAAAGTAAATGGTCCAAATTGGTACAGGAAGGTTTTTAGCCCAAGAAATATACCTCCAAGAATAAGAAAAAAGAAGATGATAGTCAATAAATAGAATGACACATTACATAGTATTAATGGCATAGTAAGGAAAACATGTCTCTTATCTCAGTATGAAAAAAAGTAGTTAGAACTTCTGGGAAAAACCAGCAAACACATAGAAGTATGTCCTTGTCATAATATAATTATGGGCTGATTTGACCAACTGATTTGAAACAGAGTAGGAAAGAATCTATGTGGCCTGGACAGGAGAAACAGTCTACTGGGGCACCTGGTGGTTCAGTCAGTTAAGTGCCCAACTCTTGACTTTGGCTCAGGTCATGATCTTATGGTTCCTGGGTTCACGCCCTGTGTTGGGCTCCATGCTGACAGCGGAATGTCTGCTTGGGATTCTCTCTCCCTCTCTCTTTGCCCCTCCCTCGCTCTCTCTCAAAATAAATAAATAAACTTAAAAAAAAAAAGTCTCCTGGAGTGGCACAGAGGTCATGACATCAGATCTGCAGAGAAGGAAATGCTATCTTGCCTTAGCAGAGAATACTTAGAGTCAATAAATAAATAGTTTACTATCCTCCAGCAATACAGTGGTGAGCTCAGGGAGACTGTTCAGACATTTCTCTAAAATATACTCCTGTAAAGACATATTTTTATAGGGGCGCCTGGGTGGCGCAGTCAGTTAAGCGTCCGACTTCAGCCAGGTCACGATCTCGCGGTCCGTGAGTTCGAGCCCCGCGTCGGGCTCTGGGCTGATGGCTCAGAGCCTGGAGCCTGTTTCTGATTCTGTGTCTCCCTCTCTCTCTGCCCCTCCCCCGTTCATGCTCTGTCTCTCTCTGTCCCAAAAAATAAATAAAAAACGTTGGAAAAAAAAAAATTAAAAAAAAAAAAGACATATTTTTATAAAAATGTATGTATTAAGGTTTAAGATAAAATAGAAGAACTAAAATATAACTATTCAAAAATATGTGAGGGAGAAGAGCCTGGGTGGCTCAGTTGCTTGAGCGGCTGACTCTTGATTTTGGCTTAGGTCACGATCATGGGATTGAGCACTGTCAAGTCTCCACGCTCAGTGTGGAGGCCCTCTCCCCTGCTCATGCTCCCTCTACAGTAAAAAATAAAATAAAATAAAAAATAAAAACAAAAATATGCAAAGGAAAATGGTATCTTCATAGTAAGAAATAAGATGGTCTCAAAATGATAAATCAAGGGTTAAAGTGAAAATGTATCATTTAGAATCTGGAGCACTAAAAACTGGGACTGGTAGGGGTGGAAAAGAGGAATATATAGTAACTATGCACTTTATAATGCATATGCATTACTTTAATAAAAACTGAAAAGGAAAAATGAAAAAATAAGCTAACAAGTATTTAATTTCATAATATTATATTCTAATAAATTTTGTGTAACATCTTTTTGAGAATTTAAGGTACTAGAAAGGACATACACCTTCTTGTCTTTCTGCTATAACATAATGTTTTCGGATTCTCAAGCATTTCTAAAGCTAATAGTAAGGTCTATTTATGCCTTTAAAATTCCAAAAGAAATAAATCTCTGTAAACTATTCCAAGGGGCGCCTGGGTGGCTCAG